ATCTATCTATCTATCTATCTATCTATCTATCTATCTATCTATCTATCTATCTTATTTATCTATCATCTATCTACCCTGTTTCCTCAAAAATATGACCTACCCTGAAAGTAAGTCCTAGCTTGATTTTTACATGTGCACCCAATATAAGCCTTACCCCCCAAATAAGCCCTAATTAAGATCAAACCCACTCCAGAGTGCAGGGGTAAAAATTAAGCTAGGGTGAGGATAGAGGGTGGTGGAGCTGCCCTACTACTTACCTTTGGACAGGTGTAGCCAGGCCTTGCACACCCCGACACCTGCCTTGCTGGCCCATTTTTTCTGCAGCCAGCAAGGCTGGCAAGGCTTTCCTGAAGGCTTCTGGAGCTGATAAGAAAGCTCTGGATTGATCCAGAGCTCTGTTATCGGCTGCAGAGGCCTTCAAAAAAGCCTTGCTGGCCACAGAAGAAGTAGTTCCTGAAGGCTTCTGACAGTTAAAAGGCTAGGGTGACGTGCGCAAGTGAGATTAGTCAGTGGATGACATCTCCTGAAAATAAGACCTGGTGCCATTTTTGGTGACAAAAAAAATATAAGACAGGGTCTTATTTGGGGGAAAACATGGTATCATCTCTCTCTCTCTCTCTCTCTCTCTCTCACTATCATCTACCTATCATCTCTCTCTCTCTCTCATCCATCCATCTCCCTAACTGGGAACGGTCGTAGCTTCTCTCCTTAGCCCACGACTTCCAACCCAGGAAAATCTCAGAGTTTTGACTCATCTTAGAAGTCTGTCTTTAACTGAAGAAGTTTTTTTTTTCAGGGCTAAGCAGCCTTGGCTGAAGATGAGGCTAATAAGTGATAGATGAGCTGATGTTTTCAAGACGGTATTGACCCAAAATGCCAAAGCCCAGCTAACTGCAATTAATGGCCCATTTCTCCATCCATTTTCCTCAGGGCTGTGCCCTGTATTTGCCACGCATTCGCCTCCACATGTGGGGATTTAGATTTCTGTAGCATTTAGCTTAATTGAAAAACAATTGCATGCTTCGTCATTATTGGTTTAATGGGAGGCTTCTTATATTCTTTGTCAAACAAACAAGCAAACCCCCCCCCTTCCTCTGCTTCGTTCCATACTCTCCTCCTATTCCTCCTCATCCTTTCTTTTTTCCCCTGCTCCTCCTCTTCCTTCTTCCCACTTTTCTTTCTCTTCCTCCTTCTTCCACCTTCCTCCTTCTCCTCTTTCCCTCCTCCTCCTCCTCCCTCCTCCCCGTCCTTCTTCCCCTCCTCCTCTTCCTCCTTCTTCCCCTCCTTCTCCTCTTTCCTCTTCTTCTCCTCTTCCTCCTCCTTCTTCCCCCTCCTCCTCCACCCCTCCCCCTCCCCTTCCTCCTCCTCCTTTTAACGAAGATCAACCATGTCTTATCCAGAACATCTTTTACACATTTTAGGATTTTGAACAGGCAAATGGAATGATGTATTAACCAGGGGCTCCATTCTGCGCTTTTATTAGATTAATATAGCGAGAAATTCTTGGCAGATGCAAATGAATGTGTCGATGGAGGCAAAGATACAGGGAATGGCTTTGAGGAGGTTGTTTTTAACTTATGTCCAACAAATACGGTATATTTGCCGGCAAAAATGACAGATATTGAGGTCAAGTTCAGACCAACCTACCTCACAGGGTTGTTGTTGTGGTTGAAACTAGGAGGAGGAAGACGTGTTGGAGATATTCACTGCCTGGAGTTGTTTATAAAATAAAGGCAGGATACCAATGAATAAACGAATGAATAAATATCACAAGTGGTTCCCTCAAATCTTCACTTTCTTATTACTGGAGGCTTTTGACTGCTGATACATCGATTTGCAAGGGGTCTGCTCTCTTAGCAGAGGGAGAGGGTGTGGAAGTCATTTTTGTTTTAGTCTTCTTGGCAACTCAGCGCATATCTATTTCAGACACCGGCTTTGCAGGAAACGAGATGGCGACGGGCCAGAGACTAATTATATTAAAGGGCTGCACATGTAAATTATTTATGGGCTGCAGTGTTTATCCCCCAGTGTTATTAAAACCAGAGGGTCCCGTTCAACAAATAAGACTTTAGCCAGGATAGATGTGACAGCAGCTTTGAGGTTGGTCCCTCTGTCGAGGAGTTTGAAAGTTTTAATGTATGGCGAAGCCGCATGTTACTTGTGAGGAGGAGATAGTGTTTGGAGGCAGGTCGAGCAGCGCAAGATGCAGGCAGATGTGATTTGTGGGTCCATTGGTCGAGGCGCCGCCACCACAAAAAAACAGAATGAATTTGAAAAACGTCAGGGGTGCGAGAGTCTGCAATCTTGGACAGATTTTTTTTTTCTTCCAGAGTGTCCTAGCAGTGGTGGGTTTCAAAACTTTTTCCTACTGGTTCAGTGCGGTTATGCATTTTGCACACTGTGCGCATGCCAAATGCACTCTCTGTGCACGAACAGTGTTTGCCACTCACTTTCTGCAGCAAGCCCTGTGTGTAAAACAGCTGACGCGTGGCAATCGGCTGTGCTGTGCCGGGGCAGTTGGGAGGGCACAGCAGCTGATCGTCGGAACTAACAGTTCAGCCAAACCGGGCCAGACCGGTAGAATATCCCCACCGCATCCGAGACTCAGGAAGACATATAGAGATGACCCCATGCAAAAGGTACTGGACGGGATTCACGCTTCACACAGCATCTGTCCAGACTCCCAGTGTGAATGGGGTATAGCATCCTCCCCTCAGTGTGACTATGGCAGAGGACACACACACACGTCAAACTATGGATCACATTGTGACCGTCTGTAAGCTGAGTGCACAAACAGGTGGTCCTTACAACAGTTTGTTTAGTGACTGCTTGAAGTTACAACAACACTGAAAAAAAGTGACTCCCGAGTTTTTCATACTTAGGATGACTGCGGCATCCCCATATCATGTGATCAAAATTTGGACCCTTGACAACTGGTTCATGTTTATGACCGCTGCAGCATCCCGGAGGGTCAGGTGATCTAAATTTTGTGTCCTTCTGACTGTCAACTCATAAAATATTTCCATGGTCTTTTTAGAGTTGTCAACAGGAAGGAAGGGGGGAGCAGTGCGGCAGCTTGCAAACCGAAAGTGCATTCCATAAATGTTTTCAAAGATAGTAACTAGGTGACTGAAGTTTCTGCCGTGCAAAATTCTAACTGGAGAGCATGATTGATGACTCTGGGCTATGGATGTGTCCCATTGGAGAATATGAATTACGATACACCCAGGGGGTGGAGGGAAAACCAGAGTCAAGGGTGACAATGTGTCTCAGAGTCGGCTACACCCAGGCAGTGCCGGCATGTTAACTCCCAATAAATCCTTTTGAAGTTTTGGAAGTTTGGTTTGAGACTCATGATTTAAATGGGACCCTGACACTGACAAGCAAAATCCATGGGGAAGCCAGATTCACTTAACAACCATATTCCTAACTTAACAACCGCTTGGGATTCACTTAGCAAATGTGGCAAGAAAAGTCGTAAAATGGGACAAAACTCAGATAACGAATTTCTCATTGAGCAACATAAATTCCAGGCTCGGTCATAAGTTGAGGACTACCTGTAGAGGGCTCCAGTATCTGACTTTTTTCCAGTAAGCGATGTTGCGCTTCACTGGTTAGACGTCCTAGTCACTGATGTTTGAACATAGATCATTTTAGAATTTATATTTTTATTGTGTTTTTAATTTAGGCCAAACGTTTATCTCTGCTGTATGTCCTTGCATGCTGTAAAGTGGGGCATGACGGCTCAGCTGTTAAAGATGCTGAGCTTGTCAGCTGGAGAGATGACAGCCTAGGGTTGAGACCCTAGAACTGCACGACAGGGTGAGCTCCCGTTCCTCGCTCCAGCTCCTGCCCACCTAGCAGTTCGAAAGCGTGCAAATGCGAGTAGATAAATAGGTACCACTGTGATGGGAAGAGCATTCCATGTGCTTCTGGCGTATAGCCATGCTGGCCGCAGATATTGCCTTAGTACATCACTGGCTCCCTCAGCCAAGGAACTGGTCGGACATGACTAGACAGGGGAAACATTTCCCTTTTCATGTTATGCCAGGCGTCCCAGCTAGGGGTAGAACATCTGGGAGGCCCATTTTTGGCCTTCCTCAGAGTCCGGAGGCTTCCCTCAGGCCTCTGGGAAGGTGGAAATGGCCTCTCCCGTGCTCTGGAGGGTCTCTGGAAGCTGGAAACAGGCCCATTTTAGAACTTCCAATACTTCCAGTAGGGCCAGTTTTCCCCCCTCTCAGAGCCTCCGCGCAGAGCCTACATTTACCTGTATCAAAAATGGGCTACATGGAGGCTCCCGGGAGGGCCAGCCAGTCGGTTCCAATACCAGTTCGGTGAACCAGATGCAAATTTAACATCCGTTTTTTTCCGAACCGATCCGAACCGGTAGAATCCCGCCTCCCCTGGCCCCAATCTGTGGACCTTAGTGGGCTGTTAGGGATTTGCAACCGGGTCTCAGAAACCGCTGGCACTCACAGGCGCATCCTCACTTTGGCAAGCAGTGGGTGAGTGTGCATGTGTGTGCTCCATTTAAGTGAGCAGTAGACGTGGGTGCATGCCGCTTGTGCAAATGGAGGTGCACACCAGTGTGCCCGCTTGCCGGCCACTCACATGGAACCAACCCCTCCCTTCCCCCGCCCCCACCAGTCTGCAGAGCCGGAAACATTGGAGAACTCTTGTGTGTTAAGCTCATTCTCTAAATAGACTAAGCCTCCCTAGTGATCAGCGTCCCTTGTTGTTTTTTGGTAGCAACTGCTGAAAATCCAAGAAGAATTAAATAACAAGAAGCTGGAACTCGAACAAGCAAAGGAAGAGCATTCTCACACTCAGGCCATGCTGAAGATCCTGCAGGAACAGGTGAGTGGCATGCAAGGTTGGTCCTTTCTGTTCGGATAAGTCTCTACAGCGATTCAAGCAGCCAAGTTTGAACCCAAGTGCACACCGAATAGAGGAGCTTCAGCAAGGTGCTACTCCGGGTAAGTTGATATTGGTCTAGGATGAGGAGAGATAACTTCAATCAAACAGGCAGTAGTGACGTTTTAGTTAAGTGATACGTAAACGATGTGTTCATTAGATAGGAACTCCTCTCCACTCCTCCACTGCCCGCCACTTCACTTCCCTCTCTCCCTTCTCCTCTCCGCTTCTCTTTCCTTCCCTCTCTTTCCTTCTCCTCTCCTCCCCTCCTCTCTCTCCTCCCCTCCTCTGCTTCCCTCTTCTTCCATCTCTTTCTCCTGTCCTCCCCTTCATTTTCCTTTCTCCTTTTCTCTTCTCTGCTTCCCTCTCCTTCCCTCTCTTTCCTTCTCCTCTCCTCTCCGCTTCCCTCTCTCCTTCTCTTCTCTGATTTCCTCTCCTTCTCTCTTTCCTTCTCCTCTCCTCCCCTCCCCCTCCACTTCCCTCTCCTTCCCTCTCTTTCCTTCTCCTCTCCCCCCCACTTCCCTCTCTCCTTCTCCTCTCTCCTTCCCTCTCCTCCACCACTTTCCTCTCTCCTTTGCCCTCTTTCCCTCTTTTCTTCTCCTCTCCTCTCAATTTCCAGAACATCTATAGCCTATTTTCTATATTTTATATACTGTATGTGTGTGTGTGTGTATGTGTGTGTGTGTGAGAGAGAGAGAGAGAGAGAGAGAGAGAGTGTTTTCTTAAGTTTTCACAGGTACTTACATGCATGGCATTCAGCTTTGTTCGGGTATTTTCCCACGTCATTGTAGTTGTGCTTTTAAAGTTGTAGCAACTTTTCAGCAGAATCTCATCTGCCATCATCAGGCTTCTGTATAGTGTACAGTACACTATACACTATGTACACTATATAGTGTATAGTACACTATACAGAAGCCTAATGATGGCAGATGAGATTCTGCCGAAACGTTGCTACAACTTTAAAAGCACAACTACAATGACGTGGGAAAATACCCGAACAAAGAAATCTAGGCAGTTCACAAATCAAACTGCCATCTTCCTCCAGACCAGAAGTTCATTATAACTCTAAAATAAAATAAATAGCCCTCAGCCAATTAGAGAGGAACCACTGAAGCTATTTTCCACCATTTGTCAGAAACACCATGCTTTCACCCTTTGGGGTTATATGGTAGGGCCGTCAGATTCAGGATGTGGGAATAATGTCCCAGAGGGTCGAGACTCGAGACAGGATTAAAGAGCCACAGTGTCTTACTTTTTAATAAGGGCAGGGCGACAGTTGCTCCTTGTGCTGCAAATCTGTGAAGTGGATGGATGCAGCTCTTGTGTAAGCACTCCTTGTCCACGGCCATATAGTTCTGAGCCCACCTTCTCATTGTGTCCCACCTAACTCCAGTCTTCAAGGAGAACATGAAGTCCCCAAGCAAGTTCTTTTGAGGGAACTTGATGGCTTCAAGGTGGTTGAGTTCTCCAGAAACTGGCCATTGGGAGCCGAGGTAGCAACTGTGTAGACAGGAACCGAGAGTTATTGTAGCCAGAGCTGATAAAACTTGGTAATTCTATTGTCTGATTGAAGTTAATCCATTCCTGATTATTGAGAGATTAAGTAGCTGCTGAAATTAAGAAAAGGATTGGCCTCGGTAACTTGCCTTTATGAAACAGTAGAGTGCTAACAAGGGCAGAAATCTGTTTTTATCTGTTTTATTTCAGATTCTCAGAAATATGTTTTTATATATTTAAAAAAAAAACATTTTAATAATTGTTAATGTTTTAAAAGATTTATTGGTCAGCTTTGTTGTATGCTGCCCAGATTCACTTGCTTTTGAGATGACAGTTTGATAAAATGGATAGATAGATGATAGGCAGGTAGGTAGGTACATAGATAGGTAGGTAGGTACATAGATAGATAGATAGAGTGATAGATGATAGATAGATAGATAGATAGATAGATAGATAGATAGATAGAGAGATAGACAGACAGACAGACAGACAGACAGACAGATGATATAGATAGGCAGGCGATAAATGATAGATAGATAGATAGATAGATAGATAGATAGATAGATAGATAGATATAGACAAGAAGAGTTCTCCTCTCCTCTACTCGTTGCAGAATACCTTATGCCACCAGTCTCAAAATTCTAGACCTAGAAAACTAGAATTACGCCGCCTTCAGTCCGATCTAAATATAGTATAGAAAATCATACATTGCAATGTCCTACCTGTCAATGAATAATTCAGCTTTAATCATAACAATACAAGAGCACATCAATAGATGCAAACTCAAGGTTAATCGCACCAAACTTGATTGCAGGAAATACGACTTCAGCAACAGAGTGGTCAATGTCTGGAATACTCCACCTGACTCTGTGGTTTTTTCCCCAAACCCCAAAAACTTTAGACTGTCTACTATTGACCTCACCCCTTTCCTAAGGGGTCTGTAAGGGCCGTGCGTCCCTGTCCTATTGTTTCTTTTATTTTTCTTATATGTGTCCATGTATTCATAACTATGTTTTTACTTATACCTATTATCTTGTAAGCAATTGACAAATCAAATAAAATAAAGGGATAGACAGACAGATAGAGACAACAATGTCTCTCGAATGTTTAATATTTACTGATGGATAAGTAGTTTTGTATATATGGCAACTGCAGTGAGATTATTATAGCCACAAAAATGTAAGAATGCAGAAATACCCACAATGGGGCAGAGAGAATGGGGAAGACTGGCTGAGTTTGCAGAAATAGCATAATTGGTTTGTTTGCTTAAGGAGGGTGCTACAATTGCTTTTATAAAAGACTGGAGCCCTTCAAGGACTTTTATTTTTTTAAAAATTTTTTTTTGCTGAAAACGGACAAAGGGAGTTGGTGATTTTAGGATTTACCGATTAAGGGTTGTTTAGGGGAAGAAGGGGAACCATGCTATTCAGAGGTGAAAATAGCAGTCATTATACTTGTAAGTGCTCCTGCAGTTATTTTTCTGGGGTCTTTTTTCCTGTCCTTCACTTTTTTTCTTTTATTCTTCCATATCTTTTTTTTTTTTCTTTCACCCTTGGTTTGCTCTTTTTGTGTTTCTGTGGGTCTTTTCCATTTTCAAACATTTGTGTCCTTGTTAAGAGAAAGCAGTTAGGAAGAAATGGAAGGGACAGAGAAGTAGCATCTAACGTAACAAGGTGTGAGTTTACTAGTCATAGAAGCAACATGATGCTATTCATTTCAACATCTCATTATACTGTATCTTTCTCGTCTTCCTTTTTTCTTGCAGACGCAAACATCTCTACCCCCACACCATGTACGCACACACATACACATACACATACACAAAAAAATCACACACACACACACACAGGGAAAGAGAGAGGGTGGGGGTAGAGAGAGAAATAGATGGATGGAATTCTGATCGTTCGGAGAAACATATTAATGAATCTACACTGTATTTTTTGTAGCTGTGAGCTGCTGGGAATCCAGCATTCTTATTTATCGCTTCATACACTGAATAACTGATTTTTCTTTCTCTCCCTGCTCGGCTCAAAGCGGATTCCAATATGTGGGTGGGAGAGATAGAGCCATCAACGTGGGGATAAAATGAGAAATAAGCTTGTGACCCTTTCCTAGTTTTATATTTTATTTTTTTCTGTTCTCTGCTGAACAAAGTTACACAGTATGGTGTTACAGCCTCATTTTCTGGCTGAGATTTTAAAAAAAATCTTTCTTTGCAAGGCCCTGCAAATATTTGCTTTCTCCTCTTTTCACTGGAATAAAACATGTTTTGCGGGATAGTATTTAAAAGTGTGTTCATAGTGGCTCTGCTCGGCACATTCGACCACCACACGCAATAAGGATTTGTCTCCCCTGGAAGAATAGGTGGGTTTACTTAATGAAAATACCCCAGCCATTTTTCTGTGGGAGGGGGAAATGCCACTGCAAATCTAGGAGATTTACATTTCACTAAGCATAGGTAAATTTAGCTGCCTTCCCAGAACCAGGAATTCTTCTGGGAAGTCCTCAATCCTGCAAAATTCTAATTTCCTTTCAAGTAAATCTGTTCCAGACAACAGTTTGTCTGTGTCTGTCTGCCTGCCTGCCTGCCTGCCTGCCTGTCTGTCTGTCTGTCAGTCAGTCTGTCTGTCTGTCTGTCTATCTCTATCTGTCATTTATCTATCTATTCTAATCAATCCATCTAATCTATCATCTACTTATCTATCTTATCTATCATCTATCTACCAATTGCCTATCTATCAACAATCTATATCATCTCTATCATCTATCTATCTATCATATGCCTATCTATATCATCTATCATCTATCGCCTGTCTATCTATCTATCTATATCTCAATCATCTAATCAATCATCTGTCTGTCTATCTATCTTTCTATCTTTCATCTATCATTTATCATCTGCCTATCTATATCATCTATCATCTCTATCATCTATCTATCAATCATTTGTCTGTTTATCTATCTATCATCTATCATATAATTATCAGGGGTGGGATTCTACCAGTTCGCACCTATTCGCTAGAACTGGTTGTTAACATCCTAAGCAGTTCGGAGAACCGGTTGTCAGAAGTAATTACTGGCCTAATCCTGTAAGGAAGGCAGGAAGGAAACATTCTGGTGTTGCTTACAGAAACTGCCTCTCCATTAACCCTTATTACGTTCTTGGCAGGACTAGACTTCCTCTCTCAAGAACATCTCTGGAGTTTTTTTCCCCTCCTTTGCTGATACTTTGCTTGTGTGGAGTGAACATTTAAAGTTACAATGGCACTGAAAAAGGTGACTTATGACCATTTTTCACACTTACGACTGTTGCAGCATCCCCACAGTCATGAGAGGCCAAGCGAGGAGATGCGTGCCTCGATGTGAGTGATGTTGAGTTGGCCACACCCAGCCAATAACATGAACACCAAGCCATGTCCACCCAGTCACATGACCACCAAGCCACGCCCACAGAACCGGTTGTTAAAAAATTTGAATCCTACCCCTGCTAATCATCATTTATCATCTGCCTATCTATATCATCTGTCACCTATCATCTATCTATCTATTTATCTATCTATCTTTTCTATACTGTCCATCTCTCCTGCGTGACACAGCATAACTTTATACATTTGAACACTTACTTGAGGTCTCTCTGCAGTTGTTTACAGATTCAAGATAAGAAAACAGCTGCAAAGACAGCTGCAGATATCTGGGCATCCTTCTTTTCGATTCTATATCACTCCTAAAAAACAAAATGAGTCCCCATAAAGTTGTTAATAAGGCCCCAAAGAGAAAAGACTCCATAGGCTGGCAGGGGATGGTCCCAGAGGTCTGCACTTTGAACTTCCCTTTCTCATCTCTCCAGCTGCGATAATTGTTCTGTCTCCTTTCAACAACCGCAGCCTCTTTTAAACAGCTGTCTGATCGTTTGAGGTGGAAAATAATTCACTCATACAAAGCAGGTAAAGGCCATTAAAAAAAAAAATCTATAAATGCTTCCACCTAGCAATTTCAACTCTGAGAACTGTTGTTAAGAAATGGAAGCTTAGAACTGTTGGACTCAGGAGAAAGAAAGCTAGAAGACATATAATAATCTATATATAGAAAAGTGAAATACTACTCACACATCATCACGAAATCTCCAGAACCGTAAAGCCTACAAATTTGAAATTTGGCACATAGGTTCCTCTTGGCTTCTAGGTGCTCACTAAGAAAGGATTTTTTTTAAATGACCATCAGAGCATTAGTATTTCCTATATTATTATTGACATGCTCTGATGCTAAGGAGTCCTACTCCCCCTCCCCACCTGAAAAGAAATCTCTTCCAAATGCAAAACACAAGCAGAGGAGAGGAGTTTCAGTTTTAGTTTCACAGTTTTAGTACAGAACAGTTGAGCTAAGCCATGCCCAGGCTCCTTGTTGTCTCCTTCTTGCTCACACAGCAAATACTGTTTCAGTTTCCAAACAGCCTTCAACTCTCTCACACGCTGACAGGACGCTAGCCAGATGAATACCAATGGATCCTGGGAGGCAGGGGCAGAATTTTTTTTTATCTTATTTTTCTCCCGCAAAACTAAGCCCGACCACATAGTAAAACCTCTCTACTAGATCTGGCTGAAAACTGGTTCAAAGTGGAAAATGGAATTCACAGATTTCTTGAAATGGCCTGCGGAAAAATTAGCTGGCCCGAAGTCAGTTCTCTCCAGATCTACAATACAGCATAGATAATTATCCAACAACGATCGGCCTAGGATGCAACTCTCTTCTCTGATCTGACCCCAGGAATCGTTGTCTAGGGAAGTGGCAAGAAAACTTTGATTAAACCCAAAACTTTTGCCAACAAAGTGATTTGGAACGATGAAAGAAACATTCTACCATCTGGCCATAGCCATGCAAGGCGGTATTTTTTATTATCTTGCAAGCAATTATTTTAATTAATTAATTAATTAATTTTAATTAGTTAAGCAATTATTTTCTATCATCCTGTAAGCAACTGACAAACCAAATAAAATAAATATAAATAAATAAATATTTGGCACAGGAAATGTTGCATGAATCAAAAGAACAAATGGGTTCAAGGATCAACATGTCCCAGGAGCTGATGTTCTGCATTCAGGGAAGAAATTGCAATTGAAAAGGAGTTAAATATTTCAACGAGCCAAAACAGATCTTCTGTTTTGATACATATCTTCAGGAAAGAAAGATTGCAGGAATCGAGTCTGCCTAGGTTAATGAAGAGAAGGACTAGGAGAGGGTATGATACCAGTCTTCCAATATTTGAGGGGCTGCACAAAAGAAGAGGGGGTCAACGTATTCTCCAAAGCATCTGTAGGGAGGACAAGAAACAATGGATGGAAACTAATGAAGGAGAGAAGAAATCTGCACTACTATTAATCTTCTCATCACTCCTTATCACCCATCCCCTCCCACTTGTGACTGTATGATTGTAACTTTGTCCCTTGTATCCTAATGATCTATATGGACTGTTTCCTAGTATGATTTGATTGCTTAGTGTACCCTATGACTATTATTAGGTGTTGTCCCTTATGATTCTTGACTCTAGACAAATGTCTCTTTTCTTTTATGTACACTGAGAGCGTTTGCACCAAGACAAATTCCTTGTGTGTCCAATCACACTTGGCCAATAAAAGAATTCTCTTCTCTTCTCTTCTCTTCTCTTCTCTTCTCTTCTCTTCTCTTCTCTTCTCTTCTCTTCTCTTCTCATCCCTTCTCTTCTCTTCTCTTCTCTTCTCCTCTACTCTACTCTACTCTACTCTACCCTCTCCTACCCTATTCTACTCTACTCTACTCTACTCTACTCTACTCTAAGAGGGTTTTTCCCCCTCCATGTTGGCCATTTTAAGGCACGTGGACTTCAACTCCCAGAATTCCTCAGGCAACCTGGGGAATTCTGGGAGTTGAAGTCCGCACATCTTAAAAGTTCCCAGGGTTGAGAAACACTGGATTAAGAAGAACAAAAAAGATTGAGAAAGTTGGCGAGATCAGATGAAATCCTTGGGAAAAAAAAAAGGGGGGGAGAGGCAAAAGGTTTGCAGGTGAAAAGGGAGTGTGGAAAGCATTTAGTACAGTTGATGGTGAGCCCTTTTGTTGTGGTGTGCCGAAAGCGTGAGAGAGATAGTATGCATTTGTGCCGGGACCCACAAGGCAATGCGTCCCCCCTGCACAAGCATACGCAACACACACACCCCTTACCTGCACTATGCATGCGTATGCCTCCCAGCTGATTTTCAGCCCCTTTGAGGCCATTTTCAGTCTCCCAGAAGCTCAAGGGAAGCCTCTGCAGTCTCGGGAGGCCAGAAAACGGGCCTTCAGGAAATACCGGAAGTGACCGTTTTCAGACTCCAGAGGGCCTCTGGAGCCTGGGGAAAGCTGTTTTTGCCCTCCCGAAGGCTCGAGGGAAGCCTCTGTAGCCTTTGGAGGCTGAAAAATGGGCCCATTTTGGCACTTCCGGTAATTCCAGAAGGCCCGTTTTTCGGCCTCCAAAGGCTGCAGAGGCTTCCCTCAAGCCTCCAGGAGGGCGAAAAAGGCCTGAAACGAGCCAAAAATCATCTGGGAGGCGTGTGTATGTGCAGTGCTGGTAAATTTGGCTGGGGCTTATATACCCACACAAATGACTCTGCACGCCACCTATGGCATGCATGCCATAGGTTTGCCTTCACAGACTTAGTAAATGTAGTAGAAGCAACAGGCATAGAAGAAGGAACTGTAAGAATAGAAAGGTATACAAAAAGGTTGGTGTAAACTGGAAGTAGCTACAGCTTTCTTTTCCTCTCTTTTCTTCCTTCTGCTTCCTCTGTGTCAATTTTTCCCCGTTGTTTTCTTGAAGTAGAATGATGAGAAGATACACATTCACAGGTAGTCCTTTATTTACAATCACAGTTGAGCCCCAAATTTCCGTTGCTAAGTGAGACGGGGGTGACATGAGTTTTGCCCCCATTTCACTCACCTCTCCTGCCATGGGCGTTACGTGACTCACTGCCATGTTTAAGCTAGTAACACGGTCGTTAAGTGAATTTGGCTTCCCCGTTGACTTTGCTCGTCGGAGGCTGGCAAAAGGGGATGCCATTGCAACCGTCATAATTACATGCCGGTTGCCAAGCCTCTGAAGATTGATCATGTGACCACGGGGATGCCACAAGGGTTGTAAGTGTGAAAATGGTCCTAAGCCGCTTTTTCAGCGCCGTTGTGACTTTGAACGGTCATTCAATGATTTTTTTTATAACCGGCATGCTTGCAAAACTGCTGGAGTGTTGCAATGGCTTAGAGGTGGGGCTCTCGCCGCACAATCCGGAGACTGTGAGTTCGATCCCAGGTAGAGGCAGATATTTCTCTCTCTGGGCACTCGGAGAATTTACAGTATCTGCTGTAATTTACAGTATCTCCGCATTGGCAACAGGAAGGACATCCAGCCAAACACTCCGCTAGCTCCATTCAGTTGCGCGGACTCCACCCCGTAAGGGATGATGAAGTAAAATGAAGATGATGATGCTTGCAAAGCTAATCTCTTGCAGTACACTTTCCAGTAGGATGGCTCCATCCCCCCCGCCCCCAAAAACAGAGAGTGCTTTTCTGCTCCAACACAACCACATAGCCTTTCCTCAGCATTTCAAACATGTTTATGCAATCATTGGCATTTGATTTAATTTTTCTCCCCCGAACAATATTTCTCTGTCTTTTTTTTTCTTTTTTCTGGATAGCCTGCAGCTACCCTGAACATGGAGAAGACATTTGGGTTTCAACAACTGAAGCCATCAAATGAGCTGCTTTATCTTCCTGATAGGTTCCTGAACAGAAAAACCCATCAAAAATGGCCCAAAAACTCATAACTCAGAAGCAATTATGAGCCTCCTGCTATTTAGCTACCAGCAACTTTGCAATTGCTTGCAAAGTTCCAAATTAATAGCAGCCAAATGGGAAATGAAAGCGTTTATTACTCTTGAAAACCGATTTTGCACCCTTCTTACGCCTTGAGTCGGCTTCCTAATCTTATTTTTTTAAAAAAAATAAAAAATAACGAGCCTCGGCTTTCTTTTCTTTTATTAGTATTATTATTATTATTATTATTTTTAAAGCCAACCTATCAGATCTTAACTAGGTTGCTTTCTAACTGGTTTCGGCAAACAGCTTCATTAGAGTCGTACGCTCCGTATATTTCGTTCATTGTGTCATTATAAATCAACAATAACTGTGTGTGAAATGCTGCTAATCATGATTGTATTTTTTTTTCCTCCCTCTCTCTTTCGCAGTTAAAAAAAAATGCCAAGGAGTTGGAGACTAATGGCCATGACGAATCTCAGGCAAACGTAGGTACAACTTTGGATTTGAGTTTGTGAAATAAAAGCTGGTTTATTAATGGATTAATGGTCCTAACAGAGATTAACCTTTTGCGGAATTGAAGGCGTGCTACCCGGAGTGTTTATTTCAAGATAAATGAACTGATTTTTATTTTATTTTTATTTTATTTTAATTTGCCTTGCAAGAATTAACGGCTGGCTTGCCTTGCCACATTCATCATGGCAAAGGTGTCTTTTTTAAAAAAAAAAATATTTATCGTTGCTGAAACATTTATATGCATGGGATTGAGAAATGTGCGTAGCCCAGTTTGCGTACAGATGTTCAGTGTTCAGCCCTGAAGTTTCAGAAGGCGATGGTTTTTGTGGCCCACTGGCAACCTGCAGAGACAGCAGCAGAGTCGGACAGTGGGGAGGAACAGGGGCCAGTCCTGGAGTCTGGGGAGGGCTCGGACGAGGGTCCTGTGTCTGACAGAGAGATTGGGCCGGGGCCAGCTGAGAGTTATGTGCTGACTCCGGAGCCTCCAGAATCTGACAACAGCGAGGCAGCGGAACAGAGGGAGCCTGTTCCCAATGCGCGCTTGCACAGAGCTGCCAGAAGGCAAGAACTGTTAAGACAAAAGGGGTGACTCGGGAGTAAAGCTTGGAGGTGATTGGCTCCTCCCATAAGACATAAAGGAGGAACAAAGGTAGAGAAACCTTTGCAGGAAGCAAAGTCGTTCGCTCTGTTTGGATTAAGCCTTGAAGCTCTGTGTGGACTTTGTACTCCGTTTGGCTGTTTACAGTTCATTTGGCACTTTAGTTGTTGGCAGCAATTCAAAGGAGAGAAAGGTGGGTGCTTATCTCGAGGGACTGTTTGAGACTCATTACAGGCTGGGAATGCACATAATTCCCAGCCATTGAAATAAAAAGAGGGTTGGATGGAATAAGCGTGTGATTAATTATGGTCTCAGGAAGCCTTGGTCAGAATAGGTTTTGAGGTTTTAATTTCAAGAAGTTCAGCATTCTAGATCTCATGTGAAGAACCCAATCTTCCTGTTACATTTGGCTTATTTTTTATGTATGTTCAGACTAAATAAAGCAAATTATATCCACCATCCAGGGTTTTTTTTCCAGGGCTGCTGACAATACAGGCAATCCTCGATTTAAGGACAACAATTGAGCCCCAAATTTCCACTGTTTAAATGGGTTTCGGCTCATTTTACGACCTTTCGTGCCACAGTTGTTAAGTGAAAAGCGGAAGTTCTTAAGTTAGTAATGAAGTTGTTAAGTGAATCTGGCTCCCCCAGTTGGCTTGGCCGGTCAGAAGGTTGCAAAACATGACCCCTAAGATATGGCAATTGTTAGAAATATGAGTCAGTTGCCAAGTCTCTGAATTTTGTTCACGTTCAATGGTTATAAGTATGAAAAATGGTCATGTCACTTATTTCAGTGCCACTGTGACTTTGGATGGTCACTAAATGAACTGTTGTAAGTTGAGGACTATCTGTATAGCAATAAAAACAATATGGCGGGGGCATACATAAGCGCACCAATGTGCCTACCGTCCCTGTCCTATTGTTTCTTTTAATTTTTCTTATATGTATCCATTTCATGTATTCATAACTATGTTTATACTTATACCTGTTATCTTATCATCGCTTGACAAAGTAAATAAATAAATAAAAAATAAAAAAAATAAAATAAGAATTATTTTAAAACTGAAGTGGAATGGAGTGGAATGGAGTGGAGTAGAATAGAACAGAACAGAATAAAATACAATAGAAAAGATTAGAAAATGAACACAAC